GTGCTGGGGAAGACCTGTGCTAGCACCACAGCTCTATCCCACACCAACAGGTTCACAAGTCCTTACCGCTTATCAGAGCTGGGTGTTGAAGCCTCGGGCTGGGGACAGCTTCCACCTGCCATGTTGCATGAGGATCCTCAGAAGCATGTTCCTGCTCCTGGCCTGAGGACAAATTGAAGCTGCCTGTCCATCTTGCCCATCGTGGTGTGCTAGCTTCCCCACTCCTGTCATGCTGGCATCCTTATCTTTCCTCCTGTCCCCAAGGACTCTCATACAGCCTGGGGCAGGTGGGGGTTCTCTAGTTTAGCCCCAGCTCAGTAACCGTTCTTGCCGACACTCACCAGGATCCTGTGATGGGACTGAGTCAGATCCCAGTAGGTGGTTATCCAGGAGGCTGTACTGCAGAACCTGAAGCAAGAGGTCCCCAGCATCACCAGAAAGCAGAGGGCTTGGGGTTTGGAGCCCAGCATTTCCTCTTGCAGAGAATGGTCCCAAGGACACACCCTGTAAGGAAAAGCATAGTGGTAGGTAGGCAGCTGTTCATCCCTCCCACTTAGGAAGAGCCAATTAGACTGTACCTGTGTAGGTAAGGCATTGCTGAGGGTCTCTTCTTCCCTATTTTCCATGGCGGGGCCTTCTGAAGGAGAGGGGGAATTTGGATCTGAGACTGACCTGCAACCTAGTTATGATGCTTGAGTAGTTCCAAAAGTTCTCTTCCCTGTACCCTTGGGCTGAGCTTACTCAGCCCAAGGCTCTGATTCGGGAGGAAACGTGCTGCACCCCAACCCCATACACCTTAGAAAGAGAGCAACTGGGAGTACAATCAAACCTTTACCCAACCAGTTTTAAAAACCACAAATCCAGCCAGGAAGCCACCAAGACAACAGTCCATGTACCTCCTTGACCCATTCCTATTTATGGCACCCCTTACCAGTGCATCCAAGCTCCGGGTTAAGTCTATACACCTTGTGGGGGTCAACAGGGTCCCCTGAATTGTCTTGATGCAAGATAAAGCGCCCTGTGCTGTGGAGTGCACAGCGGAAGTTGGTTTTCCAGCCTGCTCGCTCAGCAGCCTCAGCTTCTGGGGGTGGCAGGTTACCTCCACTAGGTGGCCACCTTCCTCTGGCCACAGCCCAGGCCTGAAGGAGAGGACAGAGAACATGGATTGAGGATGGATTCCCTGGGAGTTGCGGCAGATTTGTATAGCGGGCTGGATTGGATACCACCTTGAAGATACGTGCATCAGCTTCATCCAGATCCCTGCGACCAAAATGCTTCCAGGGCACACGGAAGACTGTGTGAGCGTCGTCCAGCCACCGAAGGCCCTCATACTGGCCGCTACTGACCTCACCCAGTAGCCACTCTCCGAAGAGCATGCGCTGGGGCCCCCTGCAAGCAGGGCAGCAACGCTATGACCAGGACCAAGGGCAAGGCATACAGGAACTGACACAACCTGGGTGGGCATGTTCTCACCTCTCTGTGGCCATTGCTCCCTTGGAAGAATCAAGAGTAGGTCCTACTCTGTGATGTGTTGTTGTCACTGGAGCAATCAGGAGGTAAGAGTCCCTTGGGTGTCACTAAAGTTTCAGGGTGTAGCCACAGATAGTGTGGCCCAGTGTCACAAATGTGATTATGTTTGTTGGTCTCAGGTGGAAATTTAAGTGTCACAAATGTGACCCAGGTGTAGGGTACTGAGGGTCACAGATGAGGTTTGAGAACTTGTAGCCACCTAGGTTCCAAACCTAAGTGTGGATTCCTCTTGCCAGGGTGGCTATAGATGTGACTACAGATGTAGCGGGAACGCACACGTGAAGTCACAGGTGTTGATCCAGCGTCCAAGCCTGGATCAGCTGTCGCAGGCTGGACCCTGCAAAGACAGGATGGAAAAAGGGGCGGGCCCAAGCGAGTAAAGCGAAACTGCATCCCGGGAAAATGAAACCTAAATAGCCCGAACAGCTCGCGGGCAGCCGCGGGCTTCCCTGTGTCTCAATGGCTACGGGTGCCGCAGTCCTCGACCTCCACCCTATCCTTATACAGATCCCAACCCCACCTGCAGATCTTCTGATGGCAGATCCCGCCGGGCCCTCTGCCCTCCTGTGTCCCTGATCCTCTACACTTCCCTTCCTCGATCGTTCCCTACTCCGTGGAGAGGACAAGAATGCCCCCTCCTGTGGCACAAGCTCGCTCCCTCCCTGCGTGGGCTAAGGGTCCCGCATACCTGGTGCCGGAGCCGCCGGGACGGTTTTATCTCAGTGAGAAGGACGCGGCCAGTACTTTTATAGGACCCGGGTCAGGGGCGGGGCGGAGTGCAGCTGGGTGTGGCCTAAGGGCTCCTGACGCCATTGGGGTATCACGTGCCGGGGGCACTCCACTCTCAGAATCACAGTCGCCCAAGTCCTTCATAGATTCAGTGAGAAAGGCTGACCCTGCTTTGGACAGCACCGCCAAGCCTCGGAGGTTCAGTGGGAGGAGTGGCAGCCTAGTCTACCCGCCTGGCTGCCCAGGTGGGAGAGTGGGAAAAGTCTTTCCCTCTAAACCTCCTCAGGAAAACACGGCAGGAGAAGGCGGGGTATCTCAAACAAAGTCAGCAGCTTTTGTTTTGTTTAACTCTCAGTAAAGTATTGGGAAGTGTAGTCTAAAGAGCGGCTTCACATTGAGAATGATACAAGTAAGAATATTTCAGCGGGTGGTGGCGCACGCCTTTAATTCCAGCACTTGATAGGCAGAGGCAGGCGGAATCTCTGAGTTCGAGAACAGCTTGTTCTACAAAGCTACACAGTGATACCCTGTCTCAAAAAACCAAACACACACACACACACACACACACACACACACACACACACACACACAAAAGAAGAATATTCCAAAGCCGATACTTGTAATACCATCTCAGGACCAATCCTTCTGGGTTAAAGAGTAAGATCCTGTCTCAAAATGTAAAATATAACTACAGATTAGTGTTGCATCCAGCCTTCATTACAGAAGCTTCTAATTGCAATGAGCAGAATCCTGTAACTGGCCCAAGAGCAGAGAATAAGTGATGGTGGAGTGTTCATCCCGAAGGAGACATCTCTACCACCCCCTCCAAGGCATCTCCCAAAAGAGGGTAGAAAGGGCCAGAGGATGGAGAGATGTGCAAAAGGAGATGTCTTCTGAGCATGACATAGCCATTGCTGTCATGAGCTCACTGCAGCTATCCACACAGGACCTCCATAAGATTGGTCTCATTAACAGTTCATCATGGATATGGGATGGGCCCAGGCCCCTCCCCCACTAGTGGCAACCGCTAAGGTAGGGGGTGTCGTTTATCCGGTGGTAATTTGTCCTTGTTCTAGCTGGATGGAGAAAGTAATTAAACTCAGAGGGCTGCTCAGAAAAGATGAGAGTAGGGGGAGACTTGTTGAGAAGGTTTCCAACGGGGCGGCAGGGGGGGGGCGCTGAGAGAAGGAAATGGGCCATGAAAACCACCAGTTTAAATGAAACCAAAAAATACATTGTATAAACGGATAAAGCTGTCATTTTTTTTAAATATTCAAATACTGTTAAGAAATAGAAACTTCTGGAAAGATATTCGGGTTGATTTTTCATTAGGAAATATGTCATGACTGCTCTGCTGGAAGAACCCAGATTATGATGTTACCCCCCCCCCAAACAGCCCCAGAGAGCCGTGTGTAACCTCCGTCTACTGACATGACCTGCAGGCCCCTGTTTCTCATAGGCGAAGTTTCTGTGTCGGGCAGAGTGCATTGTTCATTGCCTGAACAGCCTTTTTATTGGTTTGGGTTCGTTTTGTTTTTTTGAGAAAGGTTTTCTCTACAAAGCCTTGACTGCCCTGGAACTCACTCTTGTAGACCCGGCTGGCCTCAAGTTCACAGAGATCCCCCTGCCTCTGCTACCCGAATGCTGACTTTAAATGCATGTGCCAGACTTTTGAACCAGGTTGTGACCCTCAGGAAGGTCCCAGAGACCACCCTCTCCCAAATGAACGTGTATGTGGCGTGGGCGGTTCTGTTTCTTTCACTTCGCTCAAGGGAAGCTGTCCACGTTGGGCCAAGCGCTGAAGATCTCCAGCGAGGACTTCCCTCTTCCCCGCCTGCTACCGTGGGAGAGAGGGCATCCGGAAGCGCGCAGCTGGGCGCTCACAGCAGGTGTTTTACTCCC